GAGATCCCTTAAAGAAATATCTGAGAATGAGACACATCTAGAGATTCCAAAGTCGCCGAAATGTCAAGGACCTTTTCCGCGTTGAAAGCCGATTTGTACGTTGAAAACTGTTAGGATTTGAATGGCTATAGTTGTTCAGAGAGAGGGAGTTGAACGAAACGAGGGAGAAAAATGCTGAGGTCGAGAGGGAATTGAGGTCCGAAAACTTTGAGCTCAGAGCCGATTTGTGAGTTTTCTTCCCTCTTTGGTTATTCTTTGTTATGACAGCTGTTAACTAACAGAACTCCTTTTAGAGCAACGAAAATAACCGAAATGAGGGCTCAAATGTGAGTTCATCTCTTGTCGACTGAGACTTAAGAAAACAGTTTTTTTCATTTCCCAAACACCCATTCCACTCAATCCAATCAATTCCTCTTTAGACAATCTGAAAGGGAAAACAAAACGGCCGAAATCGCGAAGTTGCAGGCAGATTTGTGAGTTTTCTTTATGGAAAAGGAAGTAGTATTTGTTTCAAAAAAGTGCGGAGTAAAGATTTTCGAAGAAATTCAGAAATCAAACGATGACTTTCTTGGATCTGAATGGATGGTCGTATTTGGAACAAACCGCTTCTTGGTACAAGGTTTGGTGGATGTTGTGAACCAGAATTATCTTCATCTCAAGGCTTTGGAGCAAGAAATGACATTTGATGAAGCCGAGGCATATTGTGGGGGCAAAAAGAGCCATTTAGTCACAATTCACAGTCAGGAAGAGAACCATTTTGTTTGGAAACTCGGTAAGAAATCGAAATGATTCAATTCTGAAAATTCATGATTTTCGTAGGAATTTCTGCTTTATAAACCAAAAACAATATTTATTTCAGCGAACACTCTTTATTCAAATGCTTGGTTCTGGATCGGACTGAAGGTTGAATTTTTCTTATGGAAAGACATAAATGAATATATTAAGCTTAATCCTTCAATTTTTTTCCGCCGTTTTGGAACGCACTTTGTAAAAAAGATTCGTTTGACTGATAGTTCTTTGATAGAAATAATCGTTACAATCGGGAAACTAGAATCATTTCAATAATAAGAAAGGAAAATCGCATCGGAATATCAACAGTGAAACATAAAAATTTGTTTATCCAGAGAAATCCGAACAAAGAAAATGCTTTTGAATGGACGGATGGAAGTTCGGTGGATTTCACGAATTGGAGATCGGGAGATCCAGATTCGAACACCCACGCTACGGTGAGATTTTCAGGGTGAAATCATCAATATTTATTCCAATTTCCAATGCATAATTAATCCAAAAATAGTTCGATAAATCGATTTTTTTTTTGTGAAATAACGCAAAGTGTTTTATCAAAGGATTTCCATCAGAAATGAACACATTTCAGCTTCGGAGCGGCGATGGGAGATGGATGGTTTATCCTCCTACCTATCAGATTCCTTTTATCTGCAAAAGGAGCTCTCAATTCTGATCAATATCTTATGTTCCTTTCTATGGACAAAAACTAATAAATCCCATTTTATTCAATCTTCTGAAAACACACAACTGCACACTATCCTAGTTTCTGAATTGTGTGTTCAAAATCTCATATAAAAAGTTTTCCCAAAAACCCAAAATTCCAAAAATTCGATTCATGGTTTTTTCGACTGGTTGGTTCTGTTCTGCAACAAGATCATAGACAGGCACGATTGAGGCAAAACTAAGCGAGCTGCACCAGAAAACTGGCAAAGCAAATTTTGATTCAAAGCACTTTCAGCTAAAACACAGCGGCCACGCCAGCCGAGCAGAAATGTTGTTGATGACACAAGTTGGTGAAGACTTTACTTCTCTTGATCATCATGATCTTTAGATGATCATCAGTTCTCTGGTTACTTTCACTTACACTATTGGTTTCTATTTCGTTGGAAACGTTTCGAATCTATTTCTCAACTGGGATGTTGCCAATATGTTGATGTCTGTTCGTGATTTCAGCCACGCTTTTCTCTTCAACCCTGTTTTAAGGTTAGTGCACAAAATCACATTTTACGGTAGATTAAGCTCATTTTAACACTTGCAATGTTTATTGTAGTATAAATCTTCTCATTTCAGTATAATCACCGCACTTTTCCTCCGAAAGCCGAAAGAAAAGCCGGCAAGGACAAGAAATTCGATCACCGTGACTGTTCATCCATCAAAAGGTCATTGAAGCGGCATAATTGTGATATTGAACTGTAATATGTCAAACCAATATTATATTTCTATAAAGCTTTATGTTTAAATAGTTGATAGAAAACAAAGATAAAAAGAAAAATCTGAAATATAAATCTTAGCTAGTTACCGTATTCACTCTAATAGTAGTGGACCCCGCCGAGTCGAGTTGATGACTATTTTACGGTTTCGAGATTTTCGCAGAAACTCTACACTCTATTCCCCCAGAAGATCTCATCATCAGCTACATTTTCCGACCCCACATCGATAGGTTCTGATAAGCGGTTTTCGAAATTTCGAGCAATTCAGGCAACGCTCAGGGTGCACTACTATTAGAGAGAATACGGTAAGCCGGTTGCTAATTTGAAGAAGTACCAGAAGGCTGAATAGTCTGAATTGAATAGTTCGGCTTCAATCTTATCATTGAGGATGATTTTGCTTCAAAAGCCGAATAGAACAAAATGTTAAACGGGTTTCCCCAAAATCCTCACAATATAACAAGGACACGCAATATTCAGCATAGGGCCCGCTCGTGATACAAGTACACAACGGATTGACGCTTCGTCGACACAAACATTATCAAATTCTTTCTATAATATTAGATCAGCTATCTAAACAGAATCTAGAACCTTAAAGATAGGGGCAGAGGAAAGCCACCGATCTCAACACCGGTTCATCGCGCATTTTCGGTGCGAGGTGCAATTTTGAGCTGATGAATCTATGTGATGCTAATGATACAGATAGCTAAAGGCCTTGTATCTCTTTTCTGTTGTCCCTTGAGCTATCTGTTCAGAAATCGTTGAGAGGATTCTGGTCAGTCTCCTGTTTGTTTCGAAGAAAAAAAAGAATAAGTTTCAATCAATGTAGAACTCGGTCAAGTAAAACATTTCAGACTCTCGACGGTCACGTCTACATCGCTAGAAAGCTGCAATTCAATGAAGACTTGTACCTGGGCTGAGCGCCCGAGAATATTTGACCTCAAAGCGGCAAGGTTGCCAATTCCACGATCCGGAATACATCGAAATAAGTTGAATAAATGACTTTTTCTTCAACTTAGACTTATAACCTTGTTTGTGAGGTCGATTGGTGCCAGAACATTTACTTTGAGTCTCAGCAAAACATGTGTACATGTTAGTAGTTGATTTCAAATGATCTCTTCGAAGTGGAAAGAATCGGGCACTAGCTATGTCGAAATAAGGCATCGAAGATCACATAGTTTTCACCTAGATTCAGCTAAGCGATGGAAAAGACCAGACAAACACAAAAGGGTATATATTGACATACCACATCCATTTAATGTCAATCCTCTCATTTTAGTCGCGCCCGCAAAGTGTGGAAACCACACAAACTCGAAGTTGATTATCATGGACTTTTTTTCGTTTTGTGAAGTTTGGGAGAGAACTAGATAGATTCTCTACCCATCTTCACAAAAAGCAGACCCAAACCGCTTCCGGACTCCAGAGATAAACTAGTAGAAATGCGTTCTCGACCCACTGGCAACATTTCCTCAAATCGAATCGTACAAACACGGCGAGCACAGCGTCGATTCGGGATACTTGAAGAATGGCGACTTCTAAAGAAAGTGATTGATGATCATTGTTTGAAAGCATCCCTCTTCATTACGATCATTTAATAACTACCCACAATAATAAAGTTTTCATTCAGGCCCACACGGGTTTCTATCTTTTCTGACCTCCATGATATCTTTGATCCAACCACGGAAAGCCGAGCTTTCGATCTATGCTGTTATTTTAGTTAATTTGGACTAATAAGGACTCCTTTGATTGAAAAGAGATCTTTGTTAAACTCAAACTCGAACAGCATCTCTCTCGCCGGACCTCTTCACTCGCTACTCGTGCCTCAAACCGATTTTCAAAGAGATCAAAGAGAGATTCGCTTAGCTACACGTAATTCTCCGCAAACGTGGCCGAGAACATCACGAGGCAAATGAATGGAGAATTTCGAATCAAATCCATTTTGATTGCTTTCAGTTTGACATTACTAACGGGCACCTTATATAGTCGACCATTTTGCAAAAAGCTTATTGAAAGAGTATAATGTAGTGATATGTACATAGCTAAGTGATTTCCTCGAACAAATTCCATCTGAAAATGGGGTTTCATTCGTTTTTTGACTATAAAGACATTCACAGCTCATTATATCTACAATACATACATACATTCTCTACTTGCTTAGTCGTTATGATTAGCCAAAAAGAGACCAAGATCTTCGCCTACAGAACCAACAGTGAGTCGAAAAAAAGCATAAATCGAATTATTGAGAACTTCAGGAACAAAAATCAAAGACAAATCGACGAGTTGAGGGACGAGAAGAGCGACCTTCACGAAGAATCGTCAGTTTCCTCATGCTGAGGTCCATTGATGTTCAACACGTTTATCTAATAGTCTATTCAGGAGCGACGAGAGAGCAAAATACTTGCAGCTTCAGGCGGAATTCTGGGCTTTTGAGAGAACTTTATATGAGATTTTGAACAAACAATTCAGAAATAAAGAAAAAGATAATGTGCAGTTGTGTGTTTTCGGAAGAATGAATAAGATCGGATTTATTGGTAGTTGTCCACAGAAAAGGACAGAAGACATTTATCAGAATCGGGAGCTTCTTTTGCAGATAAAATAAGCCTGAGTGGTAGGATAATAGACCACCCATTTCCCACTGTAGCTACGAAGCTGAAATGTGTTCATTTCTGATGGAAACCCTTTGATAAAACACTTTGCGTCATTTCACAAAAAGAATTTCCTCAGATTGATCAAAATATTTTGGGATTAACTATGCATTGGAAATTACAATAAATATTAATGATTTCACGTTGAAAATCCCACCAAAGTATGGGTGTTCGAATCCGGCTCTTCCGGATACCACTTCGTGAAATCCACCGAACTTCCATCCGTCCATTCAAAAGCATTTCCTTTGTTCGGATTTCTCTAAATAAAGGAATTTTTATGTTTCACTATTGCTATTTCAACCATATTTTTTTTCCATTTTACAACTATTCTAATTTTTCAATTCAAATTAGACTTCTATAAATTCTATCATTTCAGATTTCTATCAAAGAACTATCAGTCAAACGAGTCTTTTTTTACAAAGTGCGTTCCAAAGTGGCTGAAAAAAATGAAATAATTAAGTTTAATATATTCATTTATGTCTTTCCATAAGAAAAATTCAACCTTCAGTCCGATCCAGAACCAAGCATTTGAATAAAGAGTGTTCGCTGAAATAAATATTGTTTTTGGTTTATAAAGCAGAAATTCCTACGAAAATCATGAATTTTCAGAACTGAATCATTTCGACTTCCTACCGAGTTCCCAAACAAACTGGTTCTCTTCCTCACTGTGGATTGTGACTAAATGGCTCTTTCTGCCCCCACAATATGCCTCGGCTTCATCAAACGTCATTTCTTGATCCAAAGTCTTGAGATGAAGATAATTCTGGTTCACAACATCCACCAAACCTTGTACCAAGAAGCGGTTTGTTCCAAATACGACCATCCATTCAGATCCAAGAAAGTCATCGTTTGATTTCTGAATTTCTTCGAAAAACTTTACTCCAGGTTTTTTTGAAACAAATACTACTTCCTTTTCCATAAAACAAACTCACAAATCTGCCTGCAACTTCGCGATTTCGGCCGTTTTGTTTTCCCTTTCAGATTGTCTAAAGAGGAATTGATTGGATTGAGTGGAATGGGTGTTTGGGAAATGAAAAAACTGTTTTCTTAAGTCTCAGTCGACAAGAGATGAACTCACATTTGAGCCCTCAATTCGGTGATTTTCGTTGCTCTAAAAGGAGTTCTGTTAGTTAACAATCTGTCATAACAAAGATTAGCCAAAGAGAGAAGAAAACTCACAACTCGGCCTTTAGCTCAATGTTTTCGGATTGTCGAGTAGATATTGGAAAAGTTTAGATCAGATCAGTTAGATTGCAATTTATCCAATCCGATCTGGTAAAATTCAAATTTCAATCGACTTCCACCAATCTGCTCTGATCTTGAGAGAAACCGCTTCTTTCGTTAGTTAACAAGCTGTCATAACAAAGAATAACCAAAGTGGGAAGAAGACTCACAAATCGGCTCTGAGCTCAGTGTTTTCGGACCTCAATTCCCTCTCCACCTCAGCATTTTTCTCCCTCGCTTCGTTCAACTCCCTCTCTCTGAACAACTCTAGCCAGTCAAATTCCAATATTGTTGAACCTACAAATCGGCCTTCGACGCGGAGAAGATCGTTGACAGTTCGGCGATTTTGGAATCTCTAGAAGTGTCTCCTGCTCAGATATTTCTTAAGGAATCTTAAGCCTCACATCTCGGCTTTCTAATAAGCACCAATATTCGTCGTTCGCTCGCACAGTCCGCAGATTTTTCCTCGAGCCTCGACGAGTTCTTGTTGGGTTTTACTCCTGAAAAGTCTTGTCATTGGGACACGCAAACCTATTTCTTGTTCATTCTACCAAATTCGCTTTATTGATTTGCTTTTCTCCAAAAAATCCACAAACTTCTTTGACAAGACCTCAAATTGATGGGATGGACGGTATCAATGGACGACGAACCCTCGTCTCTACTGCTGAAATCTAAGATCATCGAAAATCCCTTTCTGACCAACTTTGACGAAGAAATTCGATGGAAAAGAAGGAAAATCGTGATGAATAGAGCGACGGCCATCACACCCATTCCGATCGATTGGTGAATTCGTTTTGAATTCAAGGAAATGGGAAGAATGAATGAAGCGACGATGCCAAAGCGCCAAAGTGAAAGTTTTGACGGCCCAAAGGGCAGGAATGGCTGTTTTGACGAGCCGGAATAGATGTTTGAGAATGGAATTTTGAGCATTTAAAAGTCGCTTTCTCATTACAAACAGACAGACAGTTATTTTTAGATTCACAATACTACTAGTTTTTGTGGAGGCTTTATAATTGCTTGGCTTTGGTGTGAAAAGGAAGATAAGAATCTAATAAATCGAATCTATCACCTTACATCTTTCGATTTTGCGATGTCACCGAGTTAAAGGCTTCGAAAAAAAAGGGGTTCCCGGGGTTCTCCGTTGTAAATGACGCTTTTTCCACTAAAAAACGGTTTTTCAAAAAATCTGTCAGGAGAATTTGGAAAATTTTCCTGTTTTGAAATGAGTACATTTTTCTGTGTAGAATGACACATCTTTCATCAAAATTCATCAAAAAACGCAAATTGCACCGATGTGTGTAAGACCTAAATCACTGTTTTGACGGCCCGAAGGGCAGGAATGAATTTTCTGAAAGACCCGAAGGACTGGAATGAAAATTTTTGAAGGCCAGAAGGGCCTGAGTGTAACCATGGACTTTTCTGAACTGTCTGAAAGGCCTAATGAGAGATTTGTACGGTCCAAAGGGCCGAACTATGTCTATTTTCCAACCCATCAGCGCAAATACTTTCACGGGTCCCCCAATTAGACAGCGGGCAAAGCGAACGATCGTGAGCGAACAAAACCGGACGTGGAGCTAGCGAGATCACGACAAGAGTCTCCGAATTGGAGACCAGGTTCGAAGCCGATTTGTGAGTGTTTGTATGCTTTATAAACTGCTTTATAAACTTTATAAAATCTATGCTTTATAAACCAAAAACAAGATTTATTTCAGCGAACACTCGTTATTCAAATGCTTGGCTCTGGATCGGACTGAAGGTTGAATTTTTCATATGGAAAGACATAAATGAATATATTAAACTTAATTCTTTCATTTTTTTCAGCCACTTTGGAACGCACTTTGTAAAGAAAGATTCGTTTGACTGATAGTTCTTTGATAGAAATAATGGTTTCGATTGGGAAACCAGAATGATCTCAATAATAAGAAAGGAAAATCGGATAGAAATCATCGTTTGAAATGAAAGACTAGAATAGTTTTAAAACGTTTTAAATAGTTTGAGTTGAAATGGAAAAAAAATTGGTTGAAATATCAACAGTGAAACATAAAAATTTGTTTATTCAGAGAAATCCGAACAAAGGAAATGCTTTTGAATGGATGGATTGAAGTTCGGTGGATTTCACGAATTGGGACGTTGGAGAACCGGATTCGAACACCCACGCTTTTGTGAGATTTTCAATCATCAATATTTATAGTAATTTCCAATGCATAGTTAATCCTAAAATATCTGGATCAATCTTAGGAGATTTCTTTGTGTAGAATAACGCAAGGTGTTTTATCAAAGTATTTCCATCAGAAATGAACACATTTCAGCTTTGGGGCTAGGAAATGGGAGGGAAATGGGAGGTCTTTTCTCCTACCGATCAGTTTCGTTTGATTTGCAAAAGGAGCTTCAGTTCTGAGAAATGCTTTATCTTCCTATCTATCGACAAAACCAATAAATCCAATCTGATTCATTCTTCTGAAACACACAACTGCAGATTGTTTTTTTCTAGAATAGAAGAAAATAGATCGAAAGCTCGACGTTCCGTGATTCGATCGGGCGGCGATTAATTTGTTTTTTTGTTTCATTTTGTGGAATGGCTCTGAACACTGAATCTGTTTGACTGATCATGTTTGTTCTGGTTAGTTTCGCGAATAATTTAGTACTAACTCCATGTCACCATCCTTCTATCAGGACTGTATGTTTTTAAACTTTGTATTTTTTGAAGGTAGGCAATACTTTTTTCAAAGTTAGGATTAAAAAGCGTGAATACTCGTTTGCATTAGGTCGGTGATATCCACAAATTGATTGACTTACTAACTTCAATGGAAATTTTGGAAGCTATGACTAGTGGTGTCGACAACTTACGTTGAGCTTAGTGGAAACTAGAGAGTCGTCTAGCCATGTCTCGGTAATAGCAAGAAATGAATAAGAATTTGTACGAGTCATGGTCTGAAAAGTAGCTAAGCGATTCTTGCTACTAGAAACTATACTATGGGCATTGGCAAGAAAAACACTAGGGGAAAAGAGAGCATCAAACTTGGGAAAGCGAGCCGGGAAATTTCTCCTGCATAGAATGCGAGCCTGATTCACTTTGTTGCTTGTGGAGTTTCTTTCCAATCCTCCGTTCCGATGGGTGAGTGAGAAAAGCACCCTCATCGTTTTCCCTTTCATCTCGAAAATTCTTTGCCAATGGTTCGTTCACATCCGACAAGGAGTGTGCTTTGCGAAGGCGCAACCCAGGCGGGTCAATCTTCGTAGAGTTAATCCTCTTTGGGGGTCGGCCCTTCTTGACTGGAGGCTTTTTCGTAGAGGCTGTCGGCATGCTTTCCCTTGTCGTATCCTTTTGCGCAGCCAAAGTCGTTTCGGAAGCAGTCACATGCAAAGCTCTAACCTGTTCCCGAGGTACACTCCTTGTCGTATTCACGTCGAGGTGTGGAAGGGGGTCATTTTGGGTTGAAGGAAGTGTCTCCTGCCTCTTGCTCTTGTAGCAACTTGGGTCCGAGCGTCGAATCACAATGAGCCGAGCCTACCAGGGCAGAGAATGCTTCTTAACACGATAAAAGGAACCCAGTAAGTTCGACACACCGTGTGTAGAGCCAAAAATCACCTTCAGAGGTCTAGGTAGAAACGGAGAGAAGATGCCCATCCTATATGATTGGACCACCATTGAATCCAGACCATACGAGGCCAAAATCGCATCCAAAAGGTGACGATCCGCTGCTCTTCTAGCAAACGGTGTCATGGCGGGATGGACGTCAGCTTCAGGCAGTCCCTCAATCACCAGGTGGTAATCGTTTCCGAGAATAATTTTAATTTAATATATGTTAAAGGTCCGTTATTTCACAAAAAGAAATTTCCTCAGATCGATCGGATTAATTATGCATTGGAAATTGGAATAAATATTGATGATTTCACGTTGAAAATCTCACCCTAGCGTGGGCGTACGAATCCGGCTCTCCTTCATCCCAATTCGTGAAATCCACCACACTTCCATCCGTCCATTCAAAAGCATTTTCTTTGTTCGGATTTCTCTGAATAAAGGAATTTTTATGTTTAGACATTGATATTTCTTTTTTCTTTTTTTATTATTCAAATTATTCTAGTTTCCCAATTGATACCATTATTTCTATCAATGAGTTTCGCTGTTTATATTTTTTTTTCTATTTTACCAACAAATTTTTTCTATTTTAAAACTATTTTAGTCAATTCAAATTAGTTTTCTATCATTTCAGATTTCCATCAAAGAACTATCAGTCCAAGGGATCATTTTTTCACGGAGAGCCTTCCGAAAATAGCTGAAAATTCATTACTTTGTAGCTATTTATTTATGTCTTTCAATAAGAAAAATTCCACCTTCAGTCCGATCCAGGACCCAACATTCGAATGTTTTCAACAGTTTTCGCTGAAATAAATATCGATTGTTTTTGGTTTATAAAGCATAAATTCCTACGAAAATCATGAATTTTCAGAATTGAATCATTTCGATTTCTTACCGAGTTTCCAAACAAAATCGTGCTCTTCCTGACTGTGAATGGAAACTAGATGGCTCCTTCGACTCGCACAATATGCCTCGGCTTCATCAAATGTTTTCCCTTGATAAAAAGCCTTGAGATGAAGATAATCCTGGTTCACAACATCCACCAAACCTTGTACCAAGAAGGGGTTTTTGGGAAATACCACCATCCTTCCATATCCAGGACCCCAGTCATCGTTCGTATCCTGAATTTTTTCGAAAAACTTTACTCCAGATTTTTTAGACAAATACTCAATCCTTTTCCTTAAAAACTCACAAATCTGCCCTCAACTTCACCATTTCGGCCGTTTTGTTTTCCCTTTCAAATTCTCTAGAGAGGAATTGATTGGATTGAGTGAAATGGGTGTTTTGGGAGTCAAAAAACTGTTTTCTCAAGTCGCAGTCCACAAGAGATACCAAATTACCAAACTCACAATTGGGTTTCGAGGCCAGAGTTCTTGCTCTGCAACGCCTTGATTTTTCCTCGAGCCTCGACGAGTTCTTGTTGGGTTTCATTCCTGCAAAATCTTGTCGTTGAGACACTCAAGTCTATTTCCTGTTTATTCTATCAATTTCGCTTTTCTCCCAGAAAACCAACAAATTTCTTCGACAAGATCTCAAGCAGACGGTATCCGGACAATCCCCTTTACGGCTGAAATCTAAGATCATCGAAAAGTCTCTTTCTGACCAACTTCAAAGTACGACGATCACGGATCTCACCTCGATCATTCGGAGATCTGAATGGTTGACAACATAGCTATTTGAAGGGCAAAGAATACGTGGATGGATCCACTTGAACGCTTTCTTGAATCGATGAGGAAATTTGATGGAAAAGGAGGAGAATCGAGATGAATAGACCCAAGGGCATCACACCCATTCCGCTGAATTGGTTAATTCGTTTTGAATTCGGGGAAATGGGAAGAACGAAGGGAGGGACGATCCGATAAACAATTGTTTTTTCGCGGAAAAGAGCCTTTAAGAGCGCTGAAATTGTTTAGAAAAGCGATCGCATTCCAACCGACGATTTACTCATTAGGCCGTTGAAACAATCGCTTCAACAACAAAAAAGCGGCATTTCATAAAAAATGAAACCGTTAGTTCGTGTGAGGTAGGTGAATGATAACTCGTGGATTTTGAAAAAAGAATGTTAGTATTATCATATGTGTTCCACAGTCGTTGCCAAACTTCATTCAATATTCTTTAATTCTTTCGGAGATAATAAGACGGTCAGAGATCGAGAAGCCGCACATAGATTCGTGAATCATATTTGACAAAGACTGTTTCTTTGGTTGAAGCTTGTCGATAAGCTTATGGCCTTCAATGATGTCTAAGGCATATTGTTTCTCAAGGAAATGCTTGCCTATATGTAACGTTTCATTCGGATTCTTGGCTCTGGGTCGAACTGAAGGTTGAATTTTTCTTATTGAAAGACATCAATAAATATATAGAAACTAATGATTCTTTCAGCCATTTCCGAAAGGCTTTTTGTGAAAAAATGATTCGTTTGACTGATAGTTCTTTGATAGAAATAATGGTTTCAATTGGGTAACTAGAAGAATTTCAAGGAGAAAAAAGGAAAATCGGATCGAAATATCAATGGCTAAACATAAAAATTTCTTTATTCAAGGAAATCCGAACAAATGGAATGCTTTTGAATGAACAGCTCGTAACTCTCGAATTGAAAATCGCCACTTACGGCTGCGATTCTGCTATCTTTTTGGAGGAAATGCTTGAATTCCTTCTCGATTTCCTTTAAATACATACTCTCATTCAACTCTTAACCTCCAACAAACCGAGTACTTGTATTTGCAATCCCGAATAGGCCTCTCTGAACTCTTTCTCGCTTGTCGCGTCTTGGTGTTGAATGTAGCGATTCATCATTTGGAATGTCGAATTGATAGGGTTTTAAGATTGCCTGAAATGCCAACTGATGATGATTGCTAATCATTTGGGTCGGTTTTGATTGAAAGTTCTTGAATAACAGATTATCAAGCATGCCGCTCTAGTTTTCAATTCCCCTTTAGAGTGCCGCTCTATTAGAGGATGCCGTTCTCATAGAGGGTGCCGGTCTAATGACCGGAAGCATCTAACAAAGTAAACCGGATGAACCTCTTTGGATCACCAAGAAATACATTTCGATCAATAAAAGTTGTCCTTTAATTTTATTTAAAGTTTAACAAAAAAAACATACAAATATAATAAAGCTAACAGAGATAACAATTTTTCTAACCAATCATAACTCGTCTTCAACTAGCATTTAGCTTGCTTCAACACTTTGATGGCTGGACTTGTGGTGATTCTTCAAGTTCAAGCAAGCTAAATGCGAGCAAGCAAGCAAGCTAAAAGCTAAAGCTTTTTCTCGGCTCCTTGTGATCTATTCCAAATGGCCAGAGCAGTACCGACCTCTGGTAGCGTCAAATCCCGCCCAGCATCATTGACCCGTTTCCGTTTTCGATTCTCGAGTTGTTTGAGAAGTGCTTTTGGTTTTCACCTATCTTGAATCGACCATCGTGATACTCCAAAATGTTTGGCAGTTCTCTGATTGGAGTTCTTCTTGGCGTATTTAATCACTTCGAGCTTGAATTTCACGTCAAAGGCTTCCCGCTCCTCTTGCACTCTCAAATCCTCGGCTTCAAATGGGAAGAGCGAATGAGGAAAATTCTAACTTTGTTACAATTGTGCTTCGAGATCGTCGTTCTTGCTTTTCGTCTCGGCGACTTTCCTTTCCAAATCGGCTTCCAACTTCGCGATTTTCCCCATTAAATTCGCCTCGATTTGAACCATTTTTGCTGCCAATCTACAATCTCTCCAATTCATAATTTAACACAGCTCATGTTCTCCGGGTTATCAATTCGTTAATTTTATGAAATAAATCTTAAAAAAAATCGTTGCCTACTCTGATGATAGCCATTTGATTCCTGGTGTATATAGGTAAACGAAAACAATTCATACTAGCCTACAATTTTAGTATACAGAGACGAAGCAAAGCGAAGCGTGAAAACAGTGATCATCAGCTTCTTTGAGTAAGTGTCCAGCCTAGATTTATCAGAACGGTATAAAGAAAGCAGAGTTTTGTTAAGAATTCTTCAAGTATCCTTCATGATTCCTCAAGATTGAAAAACCAATGATTTTTTAATTTTCTTGCTATTGTTGTATCTTTTTTGTGTGTTCTCCAATAAATTGCTCCACTCATTAATTTAAAACTTAAACGGTTTACTGATGCCTAAATCATTGTATAAATTTGTTAAAACGAACTTTAAAAATTTTGTTAAAAGTCGGCTATCGGCTCCAAAAATATTATCGAGAAATAAAATTTCCACATTAGGTGGCGATATTCAATTCAAAATCATTTAGATTAGCAAAGAAAACCATCGAGTGGGCCTCGTTCAGATTTCGAGAGATATTGGCCAAACGATCCACAAGGCTGTCGACGAGATTTGTGTCAAGCACTGCCGGGTTCGAGCTTTATTCGAACGATCAACAATCGGAACTTGGGAATACAACCGAGCCTATTCATTTTGGTCAAGGAATTTAAAGCTCACATGATTTCGTTATCAAAACAGTTGGGGCTTACGGAGGGGCTCTCCTCTATTGTATATCTTACTGAATCAATCGCTAGTCAGTCGTATCAACGTCAAATGTCGTATCGTGTTTTAGTAACAGATTTCATTGAATTTAAACCAGTATATTCTATTCAAAAACATATCAATTCTTTTGTTGGCAAATGCAAACTCGGTTTAAAAATGGCAAGTGAGGTGTTAGGCTCGTTGAAAGATGAAGCTGGGTATTTAAAGTTAAATAATAGAATAAGATCAAAACTATTAGAACATGAATGGAATGCGGAGATTATTGAAGTTATTTAGACGAAAGTTCGGCTCGTTCTGGAAAAAGTTGAAATCATCACGGAATTCCGAGATCATCGATATTTATTCATTTATTTGTTTCCAATGCATAGTTAATTCAAACATGTTTCTATCAATCTGAGGAAATTTCTTTTTTTCTTTTCTTTAGAAATGAACCCATTTCAGTTTTAGAGCGGCCATGGGAAATGGACGGTCTGGTCTCCTACCCGACAGCTTCTTCAAACCCTCGTTTCGGCTCTTTGGGTCGTTCAAAGCAAGAAAAGTCCAGTTTCAAATTTACTGAGTCAGTCAATCTGCAGAACCGAATAAACTTCTCAATCGTTTGAAGAAATCGTTTGCTCTTCAATGCGGGCTTCGATTTGCATGGAATGCTGTTTGAAGACACGGCCGGAAACTTATAAGCATTCAAATGCCTATCAAGGCAAATATCCAACTTGTACACATACCTATGCTACGTACTACGTCAAAAACCGAAAAATCAATTTCGAGGTAGATGAATTCTCTTTAGACTCACTAATTTTTCCATAGATTTTCTTAATGAGCTACCCCAAATGACTCGACAAATGGAAACAGTCGAAAGAGTGCCGAAGTTTTCGTTTTCAGTTTTCGCTGAAATGAATATTGATTGTTGTTGGTTGACGAATGATGACTAAAGGAATGCCCATTCTCCTCCTTTCTCTTTATTTGGTAAGAAATCCGTATTTTGCCTGGCAACAAATTTCTTGTTTGATTTTCTCATCAATTCTGCTTATTTAGTAGCCTTTTCCTTTAAATTTTCACTCGTTCTTCGAGAAAATTCAAAATTAAATTAAAGACTTTTTTGATAGAAGCAAAGATTTGGTGAAAAACCCACAAATCGGCTTCGAGTTGGGCGATTTTCTTCAACGAGATGGCCGGTTCTTCTATGCGTTTGAAACTCTTTTCAGGCCATTCCTCAGTCCTTTCGGGCATTTCTGGAGATTTGGAAAAAGGAGAGATGCTCTGAAGACATCGAGGAGGGAAAGGAAGATTCCAGAGATTCTACAACCAACCACATCATCATGATGCCTCGGTGTCTCAAGATTTTTGTGATCTTCATTCTTTGTCTCGAGTTCGATTTGAGCAATTTGATCTGAGAAAGCTGCTCCTCATCCGAGTTAACATCACTCAAGTTCAAAATCTCTCCCAATTTCTCACTCATTGCTTCTCAGTCTCAGTGCCCTCGATAAATTTCCTGATCATGATGCTGCTTCCGGGAGGCAAGGCGTGGATCTCTGGTTCGAGTCTGGTAGCTGATTGTCTTTTTGCTTTTTATAGATTTTAATGCCTTGAGCAGTCTCCCTATAAGAGAAGTTTTGTTTAGCTATGCTTTTTATAAAAATGTTCTGCTTTAAAACAAAACAACTTAAAAAAGATAGAACAACCAAAACAACAATCCGAATGATCACACCTCGAGGAGCTTTGAATTTTGAAGTTGGAGAAGTCAAAAAGGCTCTATGAAAAATCGTTTACGCCTGGGGGGGAGATAGATAGCTTCCCCCGCGGGGATTAAGGAACAATTGTGGTGATTTGATGAGAACGGTCGGTTCAGTTAACCTTCCCCGAAAGTAGTCTCCTGATAACTCCGCGTTTTCTCACTCACCAACTTCACCCGAACTGACGGCTTTGTTTTTCCCGAAATGCTACTTTTTTTTGCACGAAGTTCTATTCGAAGCTATTGTTTCAACGGCTTAATGAGTCAATCGCTTTCCTAAACAATTTCAGGGCTCTCAAAAGCTCTTTTCCGTAAAAAAACAATTGTTTATCGGATCGTCTCTCGATTCGGTCTTCCCATTTCCTCGAATTCAAAACTAATCAACCAATTCATCAGAATGGGTGTGATGGCCGTCAGTCTATTCATCACGATTCTCCTCCTTTTCCATCAAATTTCCCCGTCAATTCAACAAAGCGATCATTTGGATCAATTCACGTATCCTTTTCCCTTCAAATAGCTATGTAGTCAACCATTCAGAGCTCCGATAGATCGAGATGAAATTCTGTCTGGTGATCGTCGTACTTTGAAGTTGATTATATAGGGGTTTTTCGATGATCTTAGATTTCAGCAGTAAAGATACCGTCCTTCAAATAGCTTCAAATAGTTTGAGATCTTGTCAGAGAAATTGGTGAGTTTTTTGAGAGAAAAGCGAAATTGATAGAATAAACCAGAAATGGCTTGAGTGCCTCAATGACAAGACTTTTCAGGAATCAAACGCAACAAGAACTCGTCGAGGCCCGAGGAAAAATCAGCGGACTCGAGACGGAAATGTGGGTGAAATCAAAAATCTTGAAGAATTCAAGCTCATCTTTTTTGGACTTTGAATAATGAGCGATTTGAGTATTCAGCGCAACAGAGCGGAACGAAACGAAGGAGAAAGACGTCGAGATGAGTCGATTGACAGCAAAACTGGCTCAAATCGAGGCGAATTTAATGGAGAAAATCACCGAAACGAAAAGGAAGAACGACGATCTCGAAGCACAATTGTACTAATTTTGTAATTTTCTTTTTGACAAGCTCAATATATAGTAAAAATCCGTACCTTTTTCAGAAGAACTCAAAAAACGGAAGTGAGGAAAGGAAAAACCAAGATTGGAGAGCTCGAAGGGAAAAACAACGCGTTGCAGAGCAAGAACTCTGACCTCGAAACCCAAATGTGAGTTCATTTTGGTATCTCTTGTCGACTGAGACTGGAGAAAACAATTTCTTCATTCCCAAAACACCCATTCCACTCAATCCAATCAATTCCCCTCTAGAGAATTTGAAAGAGAAAACAAAACGGCCGAAATCAAGAAGTTGCGGGCATATTTGTGGGTTTTTTAAGGAAAAGGATGGAGTATTTGTCTAAAGAATCCGGAGTAATGTTCTTCCAAGAAATTCAGAAATCGAACGATGACTTTGGTCTTGGATCCGAATGGATGGTCGTATTTGACAAAAACCGCTTCTTTGTACAAGGTTTGACGGATGTTATAAACCAGGATTAGCTTCATCTCAAGGTTATCGATCAAGAAATGACATTTGATGAAGCCGAGGCATATTGTGCGGGCCGACAGGGCCATTTAGTCACGATTCAAAGTGAGGAAGAGAACGATTTTGTTCAGAAACTGGGTAAGAAATCGAAATGATTCAATTCTGAAAATTCATGATTATCGTAGAAATTTATGCTTTGTAAACCAAGAACAACCGATGTTTATTTCAGCGAAAACTGTTCACCCCTTTCATGGGTTCTGGATCGGACTGAAGGTTGAGTTTTTCTTATTGAAAGACATAAATAAATATAAGATATAGAAACTGAAAGAATATAAGATATTCTTTCAGCCATTTCCCGAAGGCTTTTTGTGAAAAATGATTCGTTTGGCTAGTAGTTCTTTGATTGAAATAATGGTTTCAATTGGGTAACTAGAAGAATTTCAAGAAGAAAAAAGGAAAATCGGATCGAAATATCAAAGTCTAAACGCAAAAAATTACTTTATCCAGAGCAAACCGAACGACGAAAATGCTTTGGAATGGACCGATGGAAGTTCGGTGGATTTCACGAATTGGGATCCGAAAGACCCGGATTGGGACACCCACACTTATGTGAGATTTCCAGCGTGAAATCATCGATATTTATTCCAATTTCCGATGCATAATTTGATTCAAAAATATTTGGATCAATCTTAGGAGATTTCTTTTTAGAAATAAGGCAAAGTGTTATATCAAAGGATTTCGATCAGAAATGAACACATTTCAGCTTGATAGCGACGATGGAAAATGGCGGGTCTATAGTCCTGGCCGTCTGCTTCGTTTTATCTGCAAAATTCGCTCTCAATTCTGATAAGTTCCTTATGTTCTTTTCTGTGGACAAAAACCAATAAATCCCATTTTATCCAGTCTTCTGAAAACACACAACTGCACATTACCTTTTTCTTTATTTCTGAGTTGTTATTTAAAAATCTCATATAAAAGTTTTCCCTAAAACCCAGAATTTCGCCAAAGCTGCAAGGATTTTGCTTTCTCGTCACACCTGAATAGACTATTAGATAAACGTGTTGAACATCAATAGACATCAGCATGAGGAAACTGGCAATTCTTCGTGAAGGTCGCGCTTCTCGTCCCTCAACTCGTCGATTTGTCTTTGAGTTTTTTTTCCTTGTTGTTCTCACTGTTGGTTCTGTAGGCGGAGATTTTTCGGAGATCAGAAAAAGCAGAAACCAGTGTGGGCTTGAATGAAAAATTTATTATTGTGAGTAGTTATTAAATGATCGTAATGAAGAGAGATGCTTTCAAACAATGATCATGAATCACCTTCTTATATATGAACTGGGTTCTGGTTTGAGATGAGCAGATGGCTTTCTGTGAGTTTTGGGTTTTCGAGCCAGATGCTTCAAAGCACTCACTCATTGATTGCCGGGTAGTGAATAGAGTTGTATCTTTCTTTGCCAGTGTATTTCGATCTAGAAAGCAATGAACTACTAATTCTTGTTGTCCGTTTGACACTACACATATTGATCGTGATTCTGTGGATATCCGGGATCGTAGCTGTGCCGTCTCGGTTGAACGTTGATCGGCGTCTTGTACTTACTGAACATTCTCAGATTGACTTTTAAAGGCATTAACTCCTGAAAAAAAAACTGAGAAATCTCCTATTGTCAGCCCAATCGATATAACTCTAAGTTTACCGTAATCCTTCAACGAAATGGCAAAAGGCCAGTAGACAGAGAGTCTGGAATTCGGTTTTTGTTACAGGATTCATTTGATTCAAACCAGTAGAAGAATCCGTAGAAATTCCATTTTTACGAATACGACAGATGTTGGCTTTGGTGAACGATATGACTCCTAAAATATGGCGCCTCAGAAACAATTATGAATGTTAATTTAAGGAGGGGAAGTTGTTGATTGCGATGAGCAAGAGGGAGAGGTCCCAAGAAGAGATAAGATTTCAGAAGATGTGGATATGTCAGAAGAAGTGCAGTGCGTAACAGAATGATAGATCCACCATGTTTTGAAAACTGAATAACATCAATTGATAAACGAAAACGTTGTTAAATCAAGGTGGATCTATCATTTTGTTACGCGGGCAAAATGGCGAAAAGCATAGAAACATTTCTATAAGCGCCATGTCTTCGCGATGAAACAACAGTTTGATGCAGATTGATTTAAAACTAAATTTTGAACTTGTTTTTGGTCAAAACTTGAATTTTTATTCAAAATGTCTAGTTCCTGGGGCGAAAAACATGGTGGATCTATCATTTTGTTACGCACTGTAGCTCCGATTTTTTGATGTTACTCGAGTTGTTAAACAATTTCGATCTCCAGCTCAGTTGGGTTGTGGATTGGCCATCTCAATAGCATCGAATTCAATTGTAGCATCTCAGGTTTTTCTTGGGGTTTTTTCATCACTTGTAAGATTTTTGTTCTCCTTTTTTGACGTCATTCGATGAATGAGTTAATTTCTGATGATACAACACATTTTGATACAACACTGATACAACACTGATTTGCAGATAAAACGATACTGATTGATAGGAAAATAGGCCACCCATTTCCCATCGCCGCTCCCAAGCTGAAATGAGTCAATTTCTGATGGAAATCTTTTGATCAAACACTTTGCGCAATTTCACAAAAAGAAATTTCCTCAAATTGATCGAAATATTTTGGGATTAATTATGCATTGGAAATTGGAACAAATATTGATGATTTCACGCCGAAAATCTCACATAAGCGTGGGTTTTGTTTCAGTTCGTTTCCATCCTCCAATTCGTGAAATCCTCCGAGCTTCGATCCGTCCATTCAAAAGCATTTTCTTTGTACGGATTGCTCTGGATAAAGAAATTCTTATGTTTAGACATTGATATTTCGATCCGATTTTCCTTTTTTCTTCTTGAAATTATTCTAGTTTCCCAATTGAAACCATTATTTCTATCAGAGAACTATCAGTCAAACGAGTCATTTTTCACAAAGAGCCTTCCGACAATGGCCGAAAGAATCATTCCTTTCTATCTATTTATTTCTTTCGATAAGAAAAATTCAACCTGCAGTCCGATCCAGAAATCCCAGTTTAAACTAACAGTTTTCGCTGAAATATCGCTGAAATATCGATTGTTTTTGGTTAATAAAGCATAAATTTCTACGAAAATCATGAATTTTCAGAATTGAATCATTTCGATTTCTTACCAAGTCTCCAAACCAAATCGTGCTCTTCGGTACTGTGAATCGAGACTAAATGGATCTTTCGACTCGCACAATATGCCTCGACTTCGTCGAATGTCATTCTTTGATCGAAAGCCTTGCGATGAAGATAATCCTGGTTCACAACATCCACCAAACCTTGTACCGTCGTTCTTCCTTTTCGTCCCGGCGATTTTCCTTTCCAATTCTCGATTTCTCGCCCTTCCGTCAACCAAATCAGCCTCCAACTTCGCGATTTTCAAATTCGCTTCGATTTGAGCGATTTTTGCCTTTTTTTTGATTTTTGACCATCGACCCATCTCGACGTCTTTGTCCTTTTTCATTTCTTCCCTAAACGCTTCGATTAAATTAAAGACTGTTTTTGATAGAAGCAAAGATTTGGCGAAAAACCCACAGATCGGCTTCGAGTTGGGCGATTTTCTTCAACGAGATGGCCGGTTCTTCAGTTTGTGATTTCCTAGTTAAAAAGGGGTTTTTAGATATTCTGTTTCACGATAAAGTTTCAGCTAAAGGCATTGTATCTCTTTTCTGTTGTCTACTGAGATATCTGTTCAGGAATCGTTGAGAGGATTCTGGACAGTCCAGCTCCTGATGCGTTTGCTTCGAAGAACAAAAAGAATAAATTTCAATGAATGTTGAACGCTGTCAAGCAAAAAGATTGTAGACTCTCGACGGTCTCGTCTACATCGCTAGAAAGCTGCAACTCAATGGAGACTTGTACCTGGACCTAGCGGCTGAGAATATTTGGCCTCAAAACGGCACGGTTGCCAATTTTACGATCCGAAATAAGTTGAGTAAATGACTTTGGGCTAAGCGATGGGAAAGACAAGACAAACACAAAAGGGACCTACCAAATCCATTCAATGCCAATCCTTCCATTTTAGTCGCGCCCGCAAAGTGTGGTAATCACAGAAACTCGAAGTTGATCATCATGGGCTTTTTTTCGTTTTGTGAAGTTTGGGAGAGAATCTATCTAGATCAGATCCAAACCATTTAGCATCATTTCGATGTGGGTGCCGGAGAAAATCAGTTCCGAGCCTTTCTTTAAAGCTTTAACGCAGTCCCCTAGACCGCCACTGTATTTCTTCCCTTATAGGTGAGGTGAGAGTTCGCCGAAAATGACCGAAAGCGCTGAAATGGAAATGAGAAAGGCTCTCGGGTAGTCTACGAACAGTATTTCTGTTGCAATAACATTTCACCCAATGTTTTATTGTCTTCTTCATCTTCTATTTCAAGCCATTCGGTTAACATTCCCAGGTCGACTTTTCCCAACCAAAAGGAAAGCAAGAAGGAAAAAGGGAAATGAACACTTTTTCATTATTCTAAATGAGATTCAATTTTGGAATTGAAATTCTCATCGATATAACTGGATAAACTTAAATGTAACTGGGCAAACCCAGAAAAAAGTGTACGGTAAAATAAAAGTGATATGAGTGCTTTGAAAGAACACGAATAAATTGACTGATTAACTTGAAATTTACCAATCATCCGAGAAAGATGACACAAATTTGATCATAGAAGGGTGAAATCGAGGAGAAGTTGAAATGAAAAAGAAATGGTTGTCACAAGAAAACTCTTAATGTCATAATGTTATAGCTTGATGATTGAGATTTTGCGATCTTGCGGAAGTCAGAAGATTTGTTGAGAATCTCGACCTAGATTTATATGTACCATGTAATAGTATGGCCTAGCAAATGAAATGCTCATTTTATGATCAAGGACTTTTGAAAATTTGACTGGCTTTCTTTCTGAATCTGATGTGAAATTACTGATGTAATCGGATGAGTGTTAGCGGTGGATTCGACAAAGAACACGGGTCAGTCTAAACAACGTGCAATCTTTGCTGGACGATCTTTGTGGAGAAAATGTTAGTAAAGACGAGACGTGGATTGCCATCTCACAGTCCCTTTTGAGAATTTGATGTGAATTCGATGTGAATTGGAACTAATGGCTTTTCCTGACTGGGGGATGGCAGAACTGGTCACCATGTATTGATATGGCAATTGTAGCGAAATTTTAAATACTTTGGTACCGGATTAATTAGTACTAGACTTAGTACTAGTGCTACTAATTAGATTTACATGGGAACGTCCCAAGGAGGGTGTAAGGTTTTTAAATGGCAATGAGATGCAAACGCCTATCGGACATGACGAATCCGAGGCTGTGTACAAGAAATGCCTACTGCACTCACATCAAAATATTGCCAAAACAGATGATATACCCCCTAAGGTTCAGTCGAGTGGATTTCATTGATTGGCATCAGGGATACCCGGATTCGAACACCCACGCTAGGGTGAGATTTTCAACGTGAAATCATCAATACTTATTCCAGTTTCCAATGCATAATTGATCCCAAAATATTTCGATCAATCTTAGGCAACTTCTTTGCGTAAAATAACGCAAAGTGTTTTATCAAAGGATTTCCATCAGAAATGAACACATTTCAGCTTTGGAGCGGTGATGGGAAATGGGCGGCATATTCTCCTACCACTCCGCAGAGCCATTGGATCTGCAAAAAGGAGCGAAAGGAGCAAATTATTTTCCAGCCAACCTAATAAAAGGGAAGAACCTATCAGATAGACCCCTTAAGCCACTCCCAAACCTGATATTCATCGAAAGAAAGTAATGCTCTGTTGCTCGTGG